AGAAAAATAATCCAGCAAGTAAATCAAAAACTCAAACTGCAAAAAAAACCCAAAGTTGCACGAGAAACACAAGGAAAACAGACACGAGGACAGGGGTTATCAGAATAAAACCCAAGATCGTGACATGTTCAGCCGTCCTTCCATCACGCCATGTTCTGTTTTTCTGGTGAATAACAAGAACTAAAAGAATCAGTCCGGTGACAGATTTATTGAGATCTGGAAAGTTGCGGAGGTCGCCAAACACCTTATGTTGGAATTTAAAGGTCCAGTGTGTAGGATTTAATGGCATCTAGTGGTTGGGCTGCAGATTGCAACCGACCAAACAGCCCTCCCTCACATCTCCTACAGCGGCTGTCACTTCTAATCTAATCTGATTCTAAATCCGCTCCCTGATATTAAAGGCTCATTTGAAGCTCGTTTTACAGTTGATTACACACTAACCAAAACACAACTGTGAACATTATCTTCCTTATCTGCTGATAGACTTACTGAATTCCTACAAACTGGATATTTGAGCGACACAGAAACACAACAGTTACACTTGTCAGATGCACTTTTACGTAATCAGCAGGAAAGTTTTCATCTCTGCCCCCTTTCCTGTATAAAGTTTGCATGTTTGTCTTCCCACGTTCTCCTCCGTTTCCTCCAAACACATGCAGCCCAGGTGGGCCGGAGAATGTAGAGTACGTTAACCACAGGTGTAAATGTTAGTGCGCTAGTTTGTCCGTCCCTCCCCTCACATGCAGCTCCTGGTGGGCAGCTTCAAGCCTCCTTAATAACTTTCACATGACAGAAAGTGGTGAAGGGAGAAAAGACGGTTCATGTGCATCAGCAGCTGAACAGAGCTGCCTTTTCCCCTCTTCATCCTATAAATGAAACCTGACATATTGTTAAGCTACAAAAAACAGATCGACATTTATATTTGGCCATATATATTATCTCCTGATGTAGTTTGAAATTTATTGTTTTCCTTATTGGATGCATTAACCTGTCCAATAGCAATATAGATTTATGAAGTGGGACAACTTGCACAGACAGTTTTAACCCGATAAGTTTGGCAAATCTTTTAAAAACTTTCATCTGAAAAATCACTCCAAAATTTCGTCAGTAACAGCTGCAACACTGCAGTTCCAAACTGAACAAGCCTGGGCTCTATGCATCAGAGATAGTTGGAATATAATACATTTTTATTTAGATTTTTGTTCGTATTACGAGGCCAGAGTGAGATATGGAAAACTCCAGTAATAATTTAAAATTTTCAACTCATTCCTGATCAAAACTGTAAATTAGAGAGCATCTAACAGCCCCGTAGAAGTGAATAAGTGACATTAATTCCTATTGAACCTGTTCTCAAAATTCTCAAACGCAACTTTGCCAAATTCGATGCAACAGAACAGCAGCACAGCAAGTGATGCATCCATCTTCAGCCACAGGGACACCAGATGGCTTCTTCACTAAACGTGCCACACGTGACAAACTTTGAAAATTTAACCAGTTTTTATATCAGCTATGTCCTGATGCTGATAGAAGGTCCTCCAGGATGGAAAAGGAATCTGTTAAAATGGTGCAACAAACAGACTTTTAGTCAATCCAGCTTATGCCAACCTTAAATAAACAGATCCATAGTAATAGACATTTTACAGCGTGCTCATGAGTGAACTGACATTTAAGTGCAAAGTCTGTGAAGTTTTCCTTTTATAGTTAATAAAATAGTTAGAAATAGGATTATTATGACTTTGACAGAAACATTATTACTTCAGATGCAGCACTCTGCAGGTGTAATTGTGAAAACTGACCAGTTGATTCATCGATCATATATTTATTTTGTCTAAAAAGGAACAATGGCTCCATCTACTGGACACGTACAGTAAAATGATTTTTTACAGGTGAGCGCTCGTTGATCTCTATTTCTATAATCTTAAGATCATTACTTAGGTTAATGATACAATGAACTAATGGTGAATTTCCTACAGGATTAATAATTTATTTATTTGTCTGTTTTTAATTAGTCTGAATGATCTGTACGCTAACGTAAATCCAAGTTTGATCTAATAGAGTTTTTTTTCCTGTGTAAAATGAAGTAATGCACTGGTACCTGTAAGGACTAAACATGAAGTAGTTTATAAAAAAGCAGAGAAAACCAGAAGAAACCTGTCAACAATCTAAGAACCTCCGGGCTTATGGGAGATAATTTCCTGCATTTGTAGAAAAGTTCCTGCAATAAGTCATCCTGGACATCCTCCCTTTAGCAGAGAAGGATTTTAATTCATATAGTTTAATACTGTAACCTTTTCAAACCCTAAAACCCACCACTGCCTGTGAAAAGCATGTTATCTGAAACAAAACGCCACTGTTCAGAGCTAGAAACTGTAAAAACAGAAAGAATCATCTTTCTGACCATCCTTACGTGAACCATGTGTTCATTGGATTTATGAAGTCTAAACTTTAAACCATGGCATTTCAGCAAAATCACAATATTCTAACTGTTAACTTTGAAAATTTGCCAAAAAATAAGTAATTTGCTTTGAACAGATTCTGTAAAAACAATAAATTCTGCAGATTTTGGCACAAATAAAAAGCCACGAGTGACTCAACTGTGAGCAACAGTCATGTGACAAAAATTCAGGGAAGATTTGGATAAACTGGGCTGAACCACAGGCTGTGTTTCCAGTGGAGACGTGTATGAAAACTAATTTAAAATGTAAAACGGAAATTTCCTATAGCATGTAGAGGAACCATTTTCTTCCTCTGTGTGATTACAGCCTGTGGGCAGTTGGTAAAATGTTGTATATGTTGATTCCAGTTGTTTTTAACTGTTTAAAAATGAATAATCAACATAATTCAACCTTCATTTTTATGATTTGTGGCATCCTAATTTTGTTACGCTGCACAGAAGACATTACTGAGTTCTCTCTACTTCTAGTCATGGTTGTTCTGTTTCTAAAGAGGTGAAGGACTTTAGATTGCAGTGACAAATGAGCCCACAATGACTAAAAATGTGAGCAGAAACTGTCTTTTAGTGTCTCTGTAGTTTAGTTCTGCACTTTTACACCATCTTCAGAGGCTAAATGAACCCAGTTCAACACCAGGAAACACATTTTCTAGGCGTGTTTTGTTTCTTTTTGTTGTCAGATTTCAAATAGAAACCATGAACACCGTGTCTGTTGCAGCTCAGTGACTTTATTGAATGCAAAATATAACAAAAGGAAGTTGCAGTAAAACAAGCTTTGCAGACAAACACAGACAACACACAACATCTTCCATTTCATCAGTGCATAAACTTTTCATAATAATACTGGTGAATCCCATCATCCAAACTGGCAAATGACAAATGCTGGCTTCTAACAGATTGCACGCTGTAACAGAGTTTAAAACATTTGCTGCAATCACGTCTCACGCTCATTTAGGCTACAATTTGTTCGTCTGTCATTAGAATAATAAACATGTGTACGGTTGCGTGATGTGCCCTTGTCTGGTCTCAAAAAGAAAAATAAACAAATCACAGTAAAGTAAGGTTCAGTGCAGAGGAATGAAAGCAGATTGTAAAGCAGACAAACTACTGGTGTGTAGGAAGGCAGCAGTTCAGGAGAGGACAACAAGTGCTCTTTTTTTTTTTACGTGGCGAAGACGAGGTGTCCCGAGAAGAAGCTTTTGGTGCTCAGGCCGGTGGTCCCTCTGGCAGCTTCCAGCCACACCTGGTCTCCCGTATTCAGCCGGCGCACGGCGTCCCCTGATGACAGGTGGCGACCTCCCCGGTAGACGTTGACGCCGCGCAGCACCAGCTGGCCGTTCTGCTTCAGCGCCACGTTGACGGCGGCGCCGAGGGACGAGCAGAGGAAGCTGAACTGATACACACCGGGGATGACGCACGTGAACCGGCCTGTCTGCGAGCTGTAGTGGTTCTGTTCGTTGTAGATGACCTGACGGAAATGAAGGATTCGCCCTGAAGATGCGTTGCTGCCGCCCAGGCGGACCATGAAAGCGGACGGGGACTGAAGGGCTCTGAAGCTGAATGCTGGTCCTGGAGGGGGCGTGGAGCCGCGGCGTCCTACTCCGCCTGCAGAGGAGCAAACGAGTAGATTCATTTAGAAATGCGGGAAGAAGGTTTTGAATGTTACAAGCTTATCCTCCTGAGTTTCAAAACAATAAGAAGGAGCATTTTTACTTCCTACACACCACATTTCTGCTCCACTGATACAATTTTAATCATATTCTTATTTCACACTACAGTTTATTAAATGAAATATAAAAATATTCATCTATAAATCTCACTGTGCAGCTTTTAGTCTTCTGTTTTTATACATTTTAGATTATGCTTTATCTTTTAAAATCCAATTTCTGTCCATATTTAAGGTTCTTTATGCTGCTGACACAAAGCCCTGCACCAGCATCCTGTTCTGCCTGATAACCAACGCATCTCTCTGTGTTTAGATTTGACACTATTTCAAAATGCTGAGCTGTTTCAAAGACATTCAGATCTGTGAAGAGCTTAGAGAAAGACAAGATAATAAGAGAGAAATGAGCAGCCTACCTTGGCCTTTTCGTTGTCCCGGGCATACTCGGGGTCTTGGTAGTCTAACGGGTCGAAGTCTGGAATCTACAGAAGATAGAGGCACTAAATTAAGCTTCATAATGCAACACATGTTTGTGCTTGTCAATGAACCATCCATTGTTTAGGGTTCGGGATAGCGGGATACTGAGATGAATGAGTAAACTACCTCGTTTGTCTCCACGGGATCCTCCTGGTCCGCATCCTGTGGATCAACAAGATTTAAATCAACATGTGCTTGTATCAGTAAATCAGTTTCTTTTGGCATAAGGGCCACCTTCACCAAACATGTTAAGAAAATCAGGTGTTACAGGATTTGAATATGCACACGTTAGTGTTTAACACCGACCTCTGCTTCACCGCCATCCCGCTTACAGCTGCCTGTGAGATCAAACACCACAAACAAAGAAGAGTTTAGGGTGGTTAGAGAAGAAAAACAAAAACACCAAGTTGAGTTGAGAACGAAAACTACAGTAAGTGACAAATGATAGTGAATCTGAAAGTTTTCCCCATGGTTAAAAAAAAAAAAGTTAAGTCTAGTGTGTGGTGTTTTTCTTTTGTTTTTTGTCTTTACCACCAAAGCAGGGTCTCTCCCTCCAGGCGGACAGGTTCAAGGGAGTCAGTCTGGAGCACTGGGTGAGGCGGTTCCTCTGTGAGATGACGTTGAAGGCGTCGAGGGGGACGGAGGTGATGCCGGTGTTGTCGCAGATGATCCTGGACAGCGTGGCGGTGGACAGAGCGGCTCTCTGCCTCGGGGTGAAGACGCCGGGGTTCTGGTACCACAGCCTGAGGACACGAGAGGGCAAAGGGACGAGTTAGTGTCGACAGAAAAGGCGTCCGAAATGGAGAGTTTGGGAGCAGTGTGCATCGAGTCTTTCATTTTCATTAAATAACTTTAAATTTAAAAAGAAGGTGCTTCCAAGTTAATGTAAGATGCAGGGAATTGAACCATAATCCAGAAAGCATTTTATATTTTGCACATTTCTTACTGTACTTCTATTTCAGTTCATTGCAGACTGTACAATGACAACGAAGGAGTTCTGTTCTACACTGACCTGTCACCCTGGCGGATCTTCTTGAACTGGTTTGCGATGATGCAGGAGAACAGTGGCCCGACCCGGCCGCCCTGAACAAACGGCTCTGCCACACCTCCCATCCACACGTCGATGTTGTCGGGAGTCCCGTAGAGCTGCAGCAGCCTGCGGGCCAAGCCGTTGTTGTTCAGGACCCTGCCCAGCTCGGCCTGGTTTCTGGGCTGAGACAGGTTGCAGAACTTGCGCCAGGCGTTGTAGCCTAAAGAGAAAAAAACGTGATTAGTACAGGACGTTATGAAACGTAACAGAACAGGGGCGAACATGGGTGAGGGATGTACCAGGCAGGCCATGGTCTCGTCCCCTCTGCATGTTGAGGGAGCCCAGGTCCAAGGTCAGTTCCCGCATAAACTGGAACAATCTATCCCTCAGAGCCTCCACCAGCATGTGATCCTGGGTGGCCAGTTTAGCGGGGCGGCCCACCAGACCTCGCAGCAAAGAGTCAACTCCACCTGCAGAGAGCGAGGAGGAAAACTTAGACTGATAGTTTGGAGATAGAAAAGGTGGCTATGTTCTTCTCAGTTCAACTCACCTTCAAAGACGATTCTCCAGGGAGTGAAGAAGGCCTTGAACAGGGGGACGCTGGGGAACCGAGGGTCCTCCCTGTAGTTTGGACCCAGGCGGGATAAGACCGGCTGGATTGCCAAGTGGGCGAAGCGGTAGGCTGCTGTTGCGAAGACGTTGGAGATGGTGGGGTCGACGTTGGGATTGTAGCCGGGGTAACGGCCGATCACATTGCGGATCGCGTCATCGCCCACAATGTGCGGCAGGTAGTCTCTGAACACAAACAGCTGAGAGACACGGAGAGAGAGTTAATGCGAGCGAACGGCTGTGTAAGGTCTAAACACGACTGCAGGCCGGCTGTCAGGTTGGACTACCTGTGTGTAGGCGCCCATGATCTTGCGGGCCTCTTGGTAGAGCGTCTCACCGTCCCAGTGGGGGTTTATTCTCTTCAGCGCGCGAGCCAGACGGTTGTGTTCACGCATAAACAAGGTGTGGATGGACGTCAGAGCAACGTTCTCGACCACACGTTCATCCCCTTAGAGACAGGAAGGAAGCAAATGTTTCAATTTGTATGTTGGGAACCACTTTGCATGATGATGGTTCCGTTATTTGTTTAAAAATGATTCAACAAGGCTTCATTAGTCTGTCATAAGTTGAAATAATAAGAATATTTTTCCCTTTCTTTTCAGTTATGTCCTGACTGTTTCATCAGAAATGCAAAGAATAAAAACCATCTTAATGATTTTATCGGATTTATACCTGATGACTTCTTAGGATTATGATCAAATATTAGCGATTTATCCATAAAGTCCACATTTTTAAATGTTAAAACACTGGCAGGTCATCAGGATGATTGATCTGGCATTCATGAGCAGTCATAGGCAGCATTTATAAACACTGAAAATGGTTTTGAAAAAGCTCTGATGTGCTTATTTATGCTTCCAATGTGTATTATTATATCCTCATTCATTTATCAGCATCCAGTTGTTGCTGTTTAATAGGAATTATAAATATCAATAAGCATGAAGTACCTAAAATATTTCCTCTTGCTGCTCTATGACGCTTGTCCTGCTTATAAATACTAAAATAAAGCCCAAACTGGCAACCCCAAACTCTCATTACTACCCATGTGGCTTATCGCCTATCTAAAAAGCAATAATATCTTTTGGATTTCCCACATAAAAAGTCACTAGTTAAAGATCAAAAACAAATTTCTGAGGTGACTAACCTGCAAGGAAGCAAGGAACCTCCCTGGCGTTGCTGTTGTTGGTGATTGCCCTGCGAGTGGCACACATCTGCACCTGCATGGAGTGGAAGGGCAGCAGCTCGCGGCCGTTGTCGTCGAACTCTGTGTTGCTGCGCAGCAGGCCGTCACCGGTGGTCAGGTTGCGAAGGTCCAGGGCCAGCTTCTCCTCAGAGCCGTACACCTGGCCGAGGTCCAGGAAGGCCGTCAGAGCATTGATCTGCTCCCTCCTGACGGGCTCGCCGCCGAAATTGTAGGCCGAGAATCCGGTTCCACAAGCAGGGGCGGATCTGAACGATGGGATGCAATTGTCTGGGCCGGAGCGTCGGGTAGGATCCCCGGGTGGAATCTGTTAGTAAAATGAGAATGAGAATGAATGAGAGCGCCAAAAGTAAATGGAAAGAGTGAAACCAGGTGTTTGACAACCAACCGGGATGGGGATGCAGGGCTCAGTGCGCTCGCAGCTCTCCTCACAGTCCACCCCGTTGCTGAAGGACTTGATGCTGGGCGAGAAGGGGGTGAAGGTGAGGTCGTGGTCGTTCCACTGGCCGAACAGGGTCACCATGTGGGAGAACTCATTGTCGCTGACCACGCCTGCGTCCGTCGTGCTGAGGATGTTGTTGGACACCTGCCGCACCTGAGAAGAAATGACAGTCGTGCAGTTTTCGAATTGCAAATCGGCATTGGTGCGTAACAATCAGCGTCTGGGATCTCGAAGTCGTACCAGCGGGAGCAGGAAGTTGTTGATCGGTTTGTTTCTGTTTCCTTTTGGTTCGGAGATGTCATCGTCATATTGAGCAGGTAGCCAGCGGGCGAAGGCAGTGTTGGCGGCTCCAAGGCGAGGATTTTTTCTAAAAAAAAAAAACAACCCCTCAGAGATGGCTTTGTTTGGAAACGCTGCTTGAGAAACCACAGGGAAGTGTACACATCTTCTGCGGTACATGGCGTAAGATGTTTAGGTGTATTTCACAAGTGTTTCCTTTAAATGTAAGCTCTACTCTCTCTCAAAATCAGCTAATTCCTTTTTGGAAATAAACCATACAGTCGTCTTTTTTAAAATGTTAAAATGTGTCTGATTAAAGATGCCACATGAGCATTTAATGGACACGTATCACACTCGGCTGTTCCTCTTACAGGTTGTTGCAGATGCTGGTGGCTGTGCGGTACTTGTTCAGGTTCTGTATGATGCCGCACTGTGGAGGACGGGCTCGAGCTGCACATCCGGTTATACGCTCAAGTGCCTCCAGGTCTTCTTCAGTGAGCAAATCTGAAAAGACACAATTCACGGATTCACAAACTGCACGCCTCTGTGTCATCTAGTAGTTGAACAAGGCTTTGAAGTGCTCGGCTGCGGCCACGTTATGAAACAGTAAACCTCAGGCCTTCAACCAAACCAGGAAAAAAAAAAAAAAAGCTGTCACAAAAAGACAATGTGTTGTTGTTGTCTTTGTGCGTCATGTCTGACCTGTTGCGTTGAGCGAGCGTTTGTGCACGCGGTGCACCCTGTCGTGCAGCAGACGGAGGGTTTGTGCCATGTAGTCTGCAGATCTCACGGCTGAGCGAGTGTCACCGCGAGGCTGCTTCATCAGACGCAGGGTGTCGTGAGGACTCACCACCTCTTTGCGGACTCGTCTCAGACTCCTGGAGGACAAAAGGCCGCACGGTTAGAACAGTAAAGTCCTGATCAGTGGAGCTTAGTGGAGATTTTGCACAGTCTTTCAACAAATAACGAGCTATGGAGTTACTTTACACAGTTGTTTTGTACATTAACATCTACCATTGCACGACTATAATGTAAATCATTCCTATTGCACTACTGTACACACTGTTCCCCTTTTTAATAAGCACAATTTGCACCACTGTACATATTGTATATTATCTACATTTATATTATACACTTGAGACGACAAAAAAAGTTCAATCTAATCTAATTTAATGGATGTCTTACATGCTGAAAAAATAGCTTTTTCCAGCATGTGTTTGTAGAAAAAACTTCAAACTGCTAAACTCACTCTTCTCTGGAGTATTTGTAAGCATCATCCACAATTTTCTTGGCCTCCTCAAAGCAGTGCTGAAGGAAAGGACTGCCAAGAAATTTGTCTGTGAAGAAATAAAGACATTTGTAATGTAAGATAGAACAATAATATTAAAAAACAACAACACAAGAATTGCTTTAGGAACAGACGGTGCAGCCTACCTGAAGACTCAGAGTGAGCAAGTACCAGGCAGACGCCCAGAACAAAGAGGAAAGGAAGACGCATCTCTGAAACAAATATGAAAATCAAAAGTCAGTATCTATTTGTGAAAAAGTATGCACAAAAATTATTTCTCAAGCTCTATGTGGCATACAAGACTTCTAAAAAAGCAAAAACAGGAGGAGTGATCTTGTTACCTGCCTGTGAAGATGCCTGTGAAGGTTTCAGAAGCTCTTTGAGGTCTGGAGTTAGTGATGCTGTGTCCGACGCCGTCGCCCTCCTTATATCCAGTGTGAGGGAGGAGAGGCCTCGCCCACTTCAGCAGGTGAAGCTACTGTCAGCACAGAGCATTTCCTTCTTCCTTCTTTCGCAGTTTGATAAAATGTTTTTTTTTTCTTCTCCTTATCAGTTGCTGATTCTGGTCAACTGATCGGACCAATGATCTCATTTCAGGAAGCCAATAAGTAGCACAGACGGACAGTCATTAACCTACAACCATTATCAAGGAATTCAGATTAAGCTGTGTGTGCTCATTTATTGTAGTTTCAACGTCACTGTGTTTGGAGAACATTTTGTATTGTGATATTAAGCCTGTGTTTAATGCCTCGAGTCGTAGCAGGACAGAGGTGAGGCATGCAATCCGTCTCGTTTTATGGCTCGTACCGGAACGTCTGCCGTTTATCTTTTTCTGTCAGATAAAGTTCATGATATTGTGCTGCCTCTCACTGATGGGGATGAAATGAATTACAATCATGCAGGAAAACCAGCGATTAATCATCTTCCTGCATGAATTTTGCATCAATACGTTTATTTTAACGTGATCACTGATGATGATAGAGAACAAATCAAAAATAGCACATTGTCAATATTTCACAGTAAAATTTCACCAAATTATGTTTTCCAGAGAACTCTTATTGTAGGAAGAGGAACCAAACCCCCCAAGTTCAGTTGTAGTTTGCACTCTGGATTAGTGAAAATATGAAATAAGGGAAGGAAGAACGGGGTTCAAACCAAGGACATGGTGACTTATATCTGTTCCCTCATGACTCAGCTACTTGGGAGCTTCTTGATGTAAATATGTTGTACGTTTTTAATTTGTTATTTTGGATTTCAGAGAAGACAACATCAGCAGTGAAATGAAGAAAAACACAACAAAAACTGTTCAAATCCTCCCGTACAGCAATTAAATTAAAGCTGCTTGAAGAAATGAAGAGTTCATTTGAAAAAACAGATAACTCCATCTTCACAAACCTTCAGAAAACCCACTTTTGCATCGTCTACCTGAGACAATATCAATCAATCAATCTTCAGTTATCTCTATTTTTGTCATTTCTACTGAGTCAAATCCACTCAGCTTCAGTTTGATTGATATTATCTCAAGCAAACAACAACAAAATAAGTTTTCTGAAAATCTACAAAAATGAAGTGATCCGTTTTTGCAAATAAACTCTTCAAACAGCTTTAATCTAATTGCTGTACGGGAGGATTTGAGCAGCTTTTGTTGTGTTTCTCTTCGCTCCACTGCTGATGTTGTCACTCTGCGGCCGACGGCCTGCAGCGTTACAAAACACAAACTGATGAACTTGAGGACACTTCTGAAAAGAGGAAGCAATTCATCTTTATTTTCCAATAAAACTTAAAAAAAAATAAAATAAATTGAACAATAAAATTGAAGGAAGATATTATCCGTGACTGGATTTACAATAAATCTCTTTTTTTTTCTTTTCCTTGTTGGTAAAATGAGATTAGATTCAAACGAATGCTGTATTGACTGAAGGTGTGTCAAGCAGGTCAATAAGTAATAGGTTGTATTGAGGACAGGGAAGGACAGATGTACAGTCAAACATACATTTACCTGAAACAGTGCCTGGGTAGGGATCCCTGTGACTAATGCTGTTCACAATAGTCATGGAAAACCCTGACAAACAAGTAACAGACGGCTATAAATAGATAAGGAGCTGAATAACAAGGTGGCATCATTCAAGCACTATGCACACTAAAAACCACAGAAATAATAAAATAAATCATGAATAAAGGAATGGAAAAATGGCACCTAAACATGTATTAATGCAACATTTCAGCCAGCACGGTCTTCATCAGGAAAGCTTTTCACGTTGTGGATCTCCTGCACACCAGTGGGGTTGGATGTACAAACTTTCTTTCCTCTAAAATTATTTCAAGACTCAGTTTCATTTGGTGTGGCTTCAACCTCTGCAGTAGGCTTTGAAATGTAAGTATTAGGTTGCACATTTAAAAAAAAAATAAAAAAAAAATGTATTTGACCTTTATTTTACCAGGAAAAAATATTTGAGAACCAGTTTGCAAACATGACCTGGCCAAGAGGCGCCAGCAGGAACAAATACACATGGAACCTACAGACACAAATAGACACATAATAGAACAAAATTAAACAAGTAAGAAGCATGGGGGCTTATGCATGGGAGTGAAAACAATGTGCATGAGGTGTAAGGAAGTGTGTGTGTAGATTTTAAGCTTGAAGGTGGTGAGCGGCCTCAGAGCTGAAAGTTTGAGAGTGTTTTGTCCGGTGCTCCAGTGGTTAGCTGCTGCAAAGCGAAAGGCCAAAAACAGTAGAAGTATTGGGGATGATGAGCCTAATGTAGTCACGAGACCTAGTATGATAAGAATTATGAAGTAGATAGGACAGGCAGGGAGGTATCGTGGCCAGAATTGATTTGTAAACGAAATGAAACCAGTGGTGAAGCCGCCCAGTATGAAGGGAGAGCCAGCTCACCAGTTAATAAATCATAAACCCACATATAAATAGGTTGCATCCTGTTTACAAGCAAGGGATGAAAAGCTTGACCCATTAATTTCTTCCGCATCTTAGTGCAAAGTACTAAACCGATAAATAACAAACTGAGGGGAGACTTTAAAGTGCGTGGGATTGTTTCTGCACATGAAACCTTAAAATGAACAGTCACCAGTACAGTGATGGTTTAATTTCTCTGCTTGCTAATGCAAAAAAAAAAAGTCACTTTTCTCTTCTGTGTTTGCGACATAAACTGAAGAGTTGCACTGTCATGTCCAAATCCCTCTTTGAAGGAAGTGAAAAAAAAAGCGGAAATTAACAGCAATGATTGAAATGTCGTTAGACAACCTCAAAGTTTGGCAAGAAATCGCATTTCACCATATATTTTTTTTCTTGTATTTTGTGCAGCACAGAGTTTAGACTTTTATAATCACAATCCTGCACATTCAAATGAAGAATTAAAAATAGACTGAAAAAAAAAACCCACCTGATTATTTGCACAATCACTTCGGGCCTCAAAAACAATAGTTCTGTTGGTGATTGGCGTAATTCCCCCGGTCCAGGAAGCAGAGCTGTTTTGGACAATGCGTGACTCACCTTTGATAACAATAACTTACTATGCAGAGTGGCAAGTTACAAACCTTTCTAAGAACACAATAAGGAAGTGTGTGCGCTTCGCACTGGAGACAAAAATCTACGGCGTCTTCCCGCAGAGGGATCATGCCAACGGGAACTCCCAGCATGCAGGACGTCTTATCTTAATCCGTCAATTTTCAGTCACACCTTTCATCAGAGTTTAAACAGCGTTAACCTAATTTGTCATGGAAAACCAGCAGGTCAAGGGATCGACCGTGTGCAACACTGAGGGCTTTATGAACAAAATTAAATTTGCACAAACTGAATAAATAAAATATAAAACAGTACTTTAATAACATGAGTTCTGCAGGAAATACAAATATGACAGACTCGCCTCACAAAAGCAAAGAAAAATATTAATTTTGTCATCTGATGGACGTCCTGTCTGACTTTGTGTCACCATGGCGACAGCAAAAATGATTTAGAGTACAAGTTGGCTCAGAAGAGTTTCATGTGCACCATAAAAATACATAAATGTGTTTTTCGTAGAACTGGTAATTCTTTGTTCATCATCCTGAGTGATATCAGACATATTCAGGCTTTTTAAATAAACAGCATTCAGTATATCTGATGTGATGTTTAAGTTTTGTAGAGTGTTACTAAACTCAAAACCAATTAGAGGAACATTAGGTCAGTTTTTTTAAATGTTTGTTTCCTTTTTTTTTTTTTAAAGACAAACCCTGAATGCAGCTCCGAGTGGATAAAGTCTGATCTGGAAACATCGTGAATGTGTAGCATTCATTAAACATATCATAAATCAGTAAATAACAGTCAAACAGAAGCCCAACTTCATCACTCTGTCTCTGCTTCACGTCAATATTTTAGAAGCTGGTTTTAACTTCCAGCGATCATGTAGCCAAACACAAAAGCAGATACTTGTTCAGTATTTAAATATGATAACAAAGCTGTTTTATACTCATTTAACTGTCTAATGACAAACTGGTTTATTGCACTTCTTTGTGGTTGGATATTTAACTGTCTAAACCTCAAGAAGTTTCTGGGCATGTTTTTTTTTTTTTTGATTCACTGTAGGCTCATTTTTAACTGAATTTTAAAGTCCTGCACCTCTGTAGAAACAGCACAAACATGGTGAGAAGTAAAGAGAATTCAAAAATGCCTTCTGAAAAGTCCTGCAGTCAGCATGTACAACATTTTTCTAAGTGCACATCGGTGCTGCCAAGACCACAAAAATGGTGACTCAACCTATTACAAATATTTTACCACTTAGATTTTTAATTTGTTTGTCATTTCTATACGCTTTGTGCAAACAAGGCCTGCAGTTCGGCCGAGTATTGCCGAAAAGTCCCAGAATCTTAGTCGTGTCACAGCTGAATCATCCATCATCTATACATCGCTTAATCCTCACGAGGGTCATGGGGGGCTGAAGTCTATCCCAGCTGACTCAGGGTGAAGGCAGGTTCACCTGGACAGGTAACCAGTCTATCACAGGGCTACACTTAGAGACAGACAACCAAGCACACTCACATTCACACCTACGGACAATTTAGAATCACCAATTAACCTCAACATGTTTCTGGACTGTGTAGGAGGAAGCTGGAGAACCCAGAGAGAACCCACGCTGCACGGGGAGAACATGGAGACTCCACGCAGAAAGATCCCGGGTGCCCTCACCGGAACGCAAACCAGCGACCCACCGCTCCACCTTGCAGCCCTACAGCTGAATCACTGTTGAACTGTTTCTGTTTTGTATAAACAGTAATTTCTTATTCGATTTTTTAAATAATATATGTAGAATAATCTGCTTTCAAGTAAGTATGACAATTTTAAGCTTAGATTTGGATACTTATCGGACTGTTCTTCCTGTTTTTATGTCACAAAAGAGCAAATATTTTA